AGATTTCCACCCCAGGATTTGGAAAGAACTGGCACATTAAAGGAGCTCAGCTTAACCTCATATTTCTCTTTGATGACTGATTTTTTTTTCCTAGACAAATGAAATACAGGTGATTTTACTCTATCCAGACTTGAGTCAAGAATCTGATATTACACCACATGGGAAATTACTAGTTGAAGTTGAGAAGATGGGGATTAGTGTGGATGGCAGATGCAGAACTGCTGGGGTAAAGGACAGGGAGCTCTGTGGGAAGGAGAAAGGCAGGACAGAGGCAGTTAGAAAGTGGAATTCCTCAAGGGTCAGTCTTGAGCAGGTCTTACTTGTTCTGTTAATGACTCTGGCACAGCTGTAGGAATGTCAAAAAGAAATTTGCTGACGACACAGGCTTTGCTGATCCAGAGAGGGATCAGAACATCAACTGAATGACAGAACTTGAGATAGATTAGACAAAGCATAAAGACCTGCAGTTAAAAATTAATAACTAGAATATCACGTTACTCACTTGAGAATGACAAAAGCAGGGTGGTGGAAAAAAAAACATACAGAGAATTACTTGCTCTGAGGGATAACTGTGAGCCACCGATCTGATATGGAAAGGCAAACACAGTCCTAGAAGATACAGGTTCACTCATGTTCAAGGAAGATTAGCAGGTACAGAAAAGGGCATTGAGGATGATCAGAGGGTTTAGAACAAGAGGAGACTAGAAGAGCTTCATTTGTTTAGCTTCTCAAAACAAAGACTAGAGCAGATAGGATTGTTTTCAGTAAATACATCTGATAGGTAAAGATCAGAGGAAAAAGAGAATTGTTTAAACCAAATTACGATGCTGGCACAAGAACAAATGATATTAAGGCTGAAAATTTAAAATGAAGTGTTGGAATAGCCTGCCAAAAAGCATGATGTGATGTAATTGGTTGTGATAGTGGGAGACTGCATCAGTAATCCAGAGCCCTGTGTTCCTAGAAACGTGCAGCAGACAGGATTTTGGCAAAGTGGGCACTGGCCCCTAACAAGGAGGAGGAGCCCTGCACTGCCTGTGCAGGCAGGGAAAACGTAACTGGCCAGTCATCAGCTCTGGAAACAGGGGGAAAAAAAAGGAGGCTTTTATTTCAACAGCTAAAGTGAGGTCCTTCCTTCCTTCTCCCCTATGGGAACTGGCAAACTCAGCTCTTTAATGGTACGAGCTCATCTCAGCCTTGCCTATAAATAGATAAATGAGATTCCTCCTGTCCCAGTGAGTAATTCTGACATCCTCCCGCTGCCTCGCAGAGAGCTGAGTCACAGGCACTCTGCACTCCAGTCCCTGCATTACTTACATGGTCTCAAAGGAAATTTTAACACATCCAGTGAATCATCAGGGATTGGATCATGTTTAAAGTTATTCCATTGGCATTTCCCTTCTATTGTAGCAAGTCTGCCAACACCTAAAACTTTAGCTAATCTGGACTCAAAATGCATTGAGGAAATAACATGTTGACATACACAGCTACTAATAAAAATAATGAAAAAGGTCCTTTTAAATTTGCATTAGTAAACAGGTGATCCTTAGTGGATTCCTCTCGTGCTTTGGACCTGCTAATTTGGTCAGACTCTTCCTTGTTTTGTTGCTGCTTATTTAAAGGAACTCGAAGTTTGAAATGTTTAATATTCAGTCGTTAGGCCCCTAATTTAATCTCCTGCAGGTCTCCTGCCAAAATATTATTTGCACTGAGGTGAAGCTTGCAGCCCCATGCTCGTTCTCTCACAGAGACACACACATTCCTGCTCTTACCCATGGTAAAAATAAAATGTCTGCAAAGCAGAGACCAAACCAGAGCAGAGACCAAACCAGAGCAGGGTTAAGTACAGAATGAGGGGCTCCAGCCTGATCAGCATCTCATGACAGGGCATTTCCACTTGTCACCTTGCCTTGTCCCAGGTGGCACAGTGTGGCCTCATCAGCTTAGAAGCAACACAGCATTTGAAATCAGAGCATGTCTCTCTCAGAAAACATCTGGAAGAGTGGAAAATTGTCCAGCAGAATTTGGGGGCTGTGAAACAAATACAGAAATATTTCTCTCTGTTGGTTTCCTGGCTTGCCTTTGATATCTTCAAACTGGCTGGGACATTTCACTCATTATTACCAGACTCTCGGTTTCAGCGAGCGAGAAATGCTAACATTTGCTGCTTTGCTGCTGGGTTTGGTGTTCTTAGGCCTAAAACCTGGTTTGTTCTTTTGATACCCCTAGGAAATCTGTGTCTTAAATAACATTTTTCTAGTACCTTTTCATCAAGTAGTTCCCCGCCTGTGCATAGATTGTTAACAAGCGTTTGTTCAACACATTCCAGCGTGAGCTGCAGTCGCTCCATGAGATACTTCTGCTGTGAGGCTTGTTGGGTTATTTATCAGCCCAGCACAGCCTTCACTGCCAGTTTGCTGCCAGCTGTTAACTATACAATAGCATTGGGAACAAAATCAGTTCTGCCTCTGCCAGCGGAATTGGACATAATTCAGCTACCTGTTGACAAATGATGATTTGTTTAACAGCATAAACTATAATATTTTTGTAGCTGACAGTTTTCACCCTCCTCTGCAGCTGGAAAAACCTGAGGAATTCCCAGAAGCTCCTCGTTTGTGTCATTTTCAAGTTGTTCTTACAGCAATGCCTTGTATTGTTGTCTCTGTGCAGGAAAAGAGACCCTTAATGTGCAAACCAGTGGCGTCAGCACTGGGCTGGAACTGGGCATTCCTTGGTGCCACTCGGGGCTCCTTCCTGCAGCAGCAAATCCCACTGGACACTTTGGCCACGGGGATGCTCCAGGACAAGCCAGAGGCCTGAAAACAAGCCAGCATTTCCATGAAGCATTAATCCCCCTGTGCAGGGCCAGGGGTGGGAACGGGGCAGGGGTGCACTCTCTCCCAGCACACACATGGTTCCTATCTAAGCTGTGTTTCAGCTGGATCTTTCCCACTAACGCATCCTCCTTTAACACCTTGGACTCATTTACTGCGGGGTGTTTAGCAGCACAAATCAATTAAGTGCTGCAGAAACCCACTGAGACAGACAGAGTTTCCTATCTCTGGTTCAGCTGGGGAGGGAGGCACGCAAAGGTTAAGCCTGTGCTTTTTGCCACACAGGGAGAGAGGGTGGAGTGTGGAGCAGCCCCCAGCTCACCTTCTGTGTGGGGTTCAGCCCTTCCCAGAACCCTCAGAGCCCGCTCACAGCTGCTCCTGGAGCTCTGAGGGCCCTGGGGAGCATCCCCTCTGGCATCAAATAATCAGGGAGCTGGATAGTGCCAGCCCTGCTGCCATACCCCACTGGGACTGGCTGGGAGGGATTGCTAAATGGGGCTGAGCTGGTCCTGAGCTGCCCAGCTGTGTCCTGTAATGGGGACAGGATAGAGTCAGGGTCTCCCCCTCACCTCCATGTGTCCCACAGGATTCTCCATCAGGAGAAAGCCACTACTCAGTGGTTTAGCTGCCACTGCCCAGAGGGACGTGCCGGGATTTAGGAAGCAGCAGAGTCACAAAATGTGAACAAGAACAGAGAAAAAATGAGTGGCTTTAAAATAATCATTTGGTTGGTCTTGTTCCAACTGCAGCACCAGCCCAGCATGCCAGGGAAAGCTCAGGGAACCTCCTTCCATGGGAACATGGCTGCAGGGATGCACCACTGCTCCCTGGTCTAGGTTGGGTTAGAGCTACTTACACACAGCACACGCTTCAGACGTAGGAGATAGTCATTCAAGCCACCTGACATAACTGATCCACAGCAAGGATGATAAAACCCAACCAACCAGTTCCTGCTCGTGCCTTTAAACCGAGCTCGGCCCAGCGGCACGTCAGGGGTGTCTCTCAGGAGGGCCAGACCCTGGAGGACGTGTCCTCAGCTCACAGAGAGACCATCAATCAAGAGTGTGCCTTCATCCCTGGCTATTTTAATCACTGGTGAAATACACAGGCAGTTCCCACTCCTAAAAATGGTATTTGACTCCAATGCACATGATTTCCTTTGGCTTCCTTTCCCCAATTAAGCGTGAGCTGTAACTACTTTGAAGTCCACATGCTGGGATCCAGAGATTTGCTTCTCATCCGTCATGGAGCAAAAGTCTTGGTACTACACACAGCACAAGATCCGTGGCACCAGGCATAAATATCAGAATATTCTGTAATTGGAATGTGGGGACTGTGGAACCTCTGTTGTGCCAACAGACCTGGTGGGCAAAACCTGTCCTGTGCAATGGCACTGAGCCCCACTGCTCCTTTTCTGGTCCACTTCGTTATGTGATGACTGAAAATGCTTCTTGGATATGCTGGCACTAATTAGGATGTCAGTCTGTTGTGGGAGAAGTGAATGAATCAGCAGAAGTGGAAGTAGGAGTATATTTGCAGGTAGGCTGTAGGAACCACTAAGTCTTTGATTTTTCCTTTAAGAATGCTGGGCAAAAGTCACTGGAAGTTTAAGTAAAAAACAAATTGCTCCTCCACAGATTCAGGAGCACAGTGAATCCTTGCACCACTCAGCTTCTCTCGAGGCAGGTGAGCAGCCTGAGGGGCCTGGGGGTGTTCAGAGGAAACTTCATCACCTTCCCTTAATTGCAGACTAATAAATAAAGGCATCATGCCCAGCTCCATGGGCCTACTGGTACCCTGATTTACAAACTGGATGCTGCATCTCTGAATTCTCTGCATGCTTTGTCTGTGAACATTCTGGTATTGAGCTTAAAGAATTGATCTGAGTCTACAGATAGAATAAGTGAAGTTCACAGCAATATGAACTTAAAAATACAGAGGAGGTTTTGCAGGTACATGAGTCACCAGGGACCCCTTCAGGTTTTGTCACACTGAGTCAGGTCATGGGCACCATGACAAAAAGCCAAGAGGACAACTGACAATGATAATGTGGGGTTTGACTCATTACACCCAACTGTGTTATTTACCTAGAATACCATGATTTTTTTCTTCTCTCTTTAATAGTCAGGAAACAGCATGGGGGTTTTTTTTCTTATTTTTTTTTCTTTTTTTCCCTTAAGCTGCATCTAAAGCAGCATCAGCCTCAGTAAAGAGAGGACTTTCTGACTGCCAGCCTTCCAGGTTAAGAGACAAATCCTGCTCCAATGACATAACAAAGTTTTTGAGCTTGATGTTGCAGAGAAAGGCACAGTCACACTGTCCTACATCAGCTGATGAGTTTGTGGTGCAGGGAAGTCTCCTCACCTTGCTGGGGGGTTGTTTTGGTTTTCCTCTTTAAAAAGTGCCAAATATCAACCTTTGAAGGCCAGGCAATACAAACTGGGCACCAGAACAGGGTCCAGCTCGTGTGAAGGCTGGCCCAGCCATCCCACTGGAGAAGGTCCAGTTTCTTTTCCACCAACGCCCGCAAATGTTCTCTTAGTTAAACGTGGCTAATTAAAAAGACAAAGCCCAATAAGGACCTGTTACAGCTAGAGGTTCCTTGAGAGCTTGGATTTCTTCAGTCTTGCTGAAAACCAAAGGTATAAATTATGATAAAAGTTTGCCTAAATAAAAATATTTCCTCACTGAAGCAGCTATTTATCTGAAACTACAGCAAAGTACCACAGGGCTTCAGAAAAAGAAATCAACAAATTTGCCTGAAAAATGTATTTCCTGCACTTGTTTTATTCCATGTATGTATGTGGCTGGCATACAATTTCTGTTTGATTGAATGTACCACATTAAACTGCTCTGGACAGGAGCTGTGCCCTGACAGCAGCTGATAATGGTGCAGGGCAGTTCAGCAAGTGTCCCCTGCAGTGGGAGCCTCCTTGCAGCCTGCAAGGCATGAACAGAATTGCTTGTACCTGAAGAGAAATTTAACTTTTTTTTTCTTTTCCCTGTTGGGATCTCACCCTGCACTCTTTGCTCTTTGCTGCCTCGGGTCTGTTCTCTGTGGGCTGTGGTAACCCTAGTACTGATCTGGATGCCCTGCACCTTCCAAAGATGTGAAAAGCAGCTCAAATGGTGGCTCAGGTGTAGTTCATCTGCTGTTACCTGTTTTTCAGGAAACAGTGTGTTCATACAAGTACCAGGGCATTTTATTTCAGCAGGGCCTATTTTAATGTTCATACTGCTTAGCACAGACTGGGGATGGCAACTTCAAGGAAGTCTGGGGCAGTGCTTAACTGCAGTAGAAGCTGATGGCATCACCTGAGGCTGAGTTTGAAAAAAACCCATGATTACCTGCATGTACTTTTCAAACACCTTTATTTTAGGTATTTTATTTTTCAAGCTAAATTGGAGGTCCTCAGTGATGCTGAATCTTAAAAAGAAAGAAAACTAAAACCAGTCAGATTTGCTCTTGAAGTCTTGGTGGCCTAACCTGGGCACTGAGAAATGGATTCACGGGTCTGCTGAGAATGTCCTGAAGTGTTAAAGAGGGACTAGCAGGGCTGGATCCCACTGCAGGATGTGCACAAGGAATCCTGCATGTGATCCCCTGGCCACGTACCAAGTGTCCCTACAGACCTCTGCTGCACCAGCCCTCCACTCTGACAGGCAGTGTAGCAACTGGGAGAGCTGCTTTGGGAACACATCAGATAAAAATAGCCCCAAACCCCCGTGCTCTCCTCTTCACCACGTGCAGTCACACACAGGAAGGGTTCCATCCGCAGAGGCTGTACAAGATGGAATGGGATAAGCAGGCAACTTGCAGCTTGCCTTAAGGAACGAGACACAAAGTTATAAAGCCCTGGAAGAGCTTGTCAGACATTTATACAGGAGTTCCTAGAGCAGGTAAGAAAAAGATCCACTCATCAGGGCCCTGGCTGCAGGAGGAGCTGCAGGAATTGCTCTGTGCACATCCTCTGTTAGAGGTTCCAGCTCGTCCTTCTGACTTTGAAATCCACAAGTGGGTTCTCTTCACAGCGGCAGAGCTGAGGTAGGAAGAAGCTGTGGAGGCATATTCCAGTATTTCAGGGCAAAAAAAGTGTTTATTTCAACAAATAAATATTCTTATTTAAAGTGGTGATATTAAAGGTAAAAATCGTAACATAGAAACTCATCCAAAAAAGTTACAAACCCTTGTTCCAGATCTTCCTGTTTTCAGCACAAAGAATATTCCAGGAGACTGTTGCTCTGCAGCCTGTTAGCAGAGGAGGTGATTTGGTCCAGTTGACTTGGTAGAACCAGAATCAGAACAAATTAAACTAATTCCATCCACCCATCTTGCCAAGGAAACATTCAAGCCCTTCCATCTCATTTCAGTATCCAGTGAAGACATGAGAGCTGCTGGATGGGGAAATCCTTGTGGAGAGGAGCTCTGAAATGAGGCAGTCTCAGAAATCAAAGGTGTCAAAGCAAGGAGTCCTGACACAAACAGTTCCCAAAGTGTCACGTTCCTGGAACCAGCAGGCAGGGAAGGACACTCTGGGACAGTCCTGCAGGGCCTGGAGCAGCCCAGGTTTCTTTGTTCCCAGCTGGTTGAGCAGTATCCATCCTTCCCTGATAGCCAGGGGCCTTCCTTGTGCCCATTGTCTGTCTTATTTGCCACACAGTCACTGGGGCAAGGATTGTCTCTTAGGCTCTGCTTACACAGCAGCTGCCGGCTCGGGAATAGCTGCAGCAGGATGACTCCATGTGAACACTCATTCCACAGGCAGGATGACTCCATGTGAACACTCATTCCACAGCTCCTGGTTCATACCATACCTTAAGTGGAGCAGCCTCAGTGTGTCACTGTGCCTTACAAAGTTAAGCGAGACCTGGGACTCAGTTCAGGGTTTCTAGTCACTTCTCCTTTATAGAGAATTCAGCTTTAGGAAAAGCACTTGAAATGCTCCTGAGAATGACAAATAACACATGAGTAAATCCTGCTCCAAAACCATAAAACCCAATTAAAAAAAAAAAAAGGCATGCACTTCTAATCTAATCTATTGGCATAGGCATATAAAGCAGAATTAATTGATAAACATATAATTAATTGATAAAAATCATAAAAGCCATAAACAAAGCCTTTTCAAAAGGTAATGAATGAGTAATCCAAGCAGACAGTGTGAAAGGCCTGTTGCTGCTGTGGGGCCAGACTAATTTGACTATCCATACCCTAGGGTAGAGTTATTAAAGGATAAAAGCTTTGAACATTGTTGCAGAGTTCAATGAAAATAAAAACTTTTACTCAACATATAGAAGCTCTCAGAAATGCAAATGAAGTGTTAGAATGCATAAAGATGGCAAATAATTAAATATTATGGTTCTGTTTAACAAACTGCTTCTTTGCATGCAATTACTGCATCCTGGGCTGGTCTGAGAAAGAACAGGAATGAAGCTCAGAGAAAGGAGCATGAGCAGAGACCTGCAAGGACAGTTTGCTGAAGGAGTAAAACAGGGAATTGGGAGTGGGGAATGGTTTGGGTAAGGGCTGTTTCTCTGGGGTTGGGTTGTGCATCTCCCTGCATTTCGCTCTGGTGGGGATGTGGGGAGGAAAGCACTCGGATTGTTTCGTTTCCCCATCTTTGTGTTCCAGTTCTCGTGCCCTGAGCGCCATACAGAGCACACACTCCACACCACAGGTCACAACACCACGTCCTTTTAGTTCCCCTCCAACAGAAACACTTTCCCCAGCCTGAAACCCCGCTCCCACTTCCCAGCCATCCTTCCCGATGCCGCCTGCCCTTCCGTGCTTGCCCAGCCCCGAGTGCTCGTGCTTCCCTTCCAGGCCTCCCCATGCCGGAGGTCACAGTTGACCATTGCAAGAACAATAAGGATTTTTAGGGGCATTATGACTGGGTTAGTAAAACACAGCTGCCCCTGAAAGTCCCTCATTTTTCTTGCTGCCGCTCAGTCCGTCCCTACGAGGGCAGGGTCTGGCAGGGTCCTTTCTCTCCAGCACGGCTGTGCTATCTCACGCTGATGTGCCCAGGAATACCCAGGAACACCCCAGTCCCAGTGCCCAGGAACACCCCAGTCCCAGTGCCCAGCCCACACGGCAGCAGAAGGTGTGGAAGTGCTTTGTCATCCCTGTGGGCTCCTCCTCAGTGAAGGCTGTGCTGAGTTTCAGCTGTGCTGAGTTTCAGCGTCATGCCAGATGGCTCGTCTGTCACTCACTGGGAATGCCACCAAACAGAGGAATGCCACCAAACAGAGCCTGGCACAGCTATCTGCAGGCAGCCCTGGAATACCCAGCCACCGGGGCAAAAGGCAGGAATGCCTTGTCCTACAGATACTCGTGGTACTGGCTCTCAGGTGAGCTACTGCTGCTTTGTCCAGGAGAAGTGGAGCCCCAGGGCTGACGGACCTTGCACGTCCCACACTCCTGTGTCATAACCCACGATCCTTGGGGCACTCAGAGCTCCCCAGGGCACTCAGAGCTGCTCAGCCACAGCACCCAAGTCCCGGTGGAAGAGCTCACATCCATCTCCAGAAACAGTTGCTTTTAATTAATTAATAAAGCTGGGATTTTAATGAGGGAATTACTACTGATTTCTCAACAACTCAGCTTTAAGTAATAGCTGAAAAAGATCTATACATTTACAACTCAAAAGGTGCCAGGTATTTGGCTGGGAATTTTCAACCCTCATTCACAAGTCCTCCTGGAAATCCCAGCCCAGCCCAGCATGTCCTTTGGGCAAGGAGTGACATTTCCCTTTTATTGGATCAGTACTTTGAATTTCATGGCAGAGGACCCAACACAAAGTACAGGCAGATTCCCACAATTCTGCTCTGTTGTTTCCCTATAAACTCTCTCTGTAGAGAGCTGATGTGAGCCCCTTCCCGTGGTGGGCTTGCAAATATCCCTGCAAGCTGCTGCCCTTGAGAGGGACTTTGTGACATGCCTGAGGGCTTTCAGGAGTTTCAGAGTGTTCAGGAGTTCAGAAAAGCTCTCAGGGGTTTTCTTCTTTCCTCCTCCCCCCTTGCAGAAAAAATATCACATCACATCCCTCAGCAAGGAGCTCCTTTCCCCAGTTCCTGGTTACAGGCTGTGAAGAACAAAGTGGTTGAGTGTCTCTGAAAGGCTGAGATGTGAGATGTGAGTGGCAGCACTGGGATCTCTGGAGCAAAGCATCATGTTCGGAGCTGTTCACATGTGCCATCTCCAGGGACACACACACAGCTGGTGTGGCCACTCTGAGGCTCGGGGAGTCACACAATACAGTACAACACAATACCAGTATCCTCACCCATCCCACAGGGGATGGTTTTCCACGGTAGCAGTCAACCTGGCATCCAAAAACCCCGGAAACCCTCTCAGAACTGTACAAAGCCGCACCTTATTTTCATCTAGAATTTCTTCTAGGGCTTGCAAGTCAAGGGAAAACAAACCCCGTGCCCTGATTTGGTAATAAAACATGAGCCATGATTTGGATCCAAATATTATTTGCATCTTTGAAAAAGTTACAACAGCAGTATAATAATAATTTTTAAAAAAGCAGCAGGCCTCTGAATGCTAATGACGTTGGTGTCCTAAATGAAGCATAAAAGCCAGAGCCTGTGAGAAGCAGAGCATGAGTCAGAGCGTCAGCAGTCCCACACTGAAAGCAGCACTCACGGCTGCTTCATTCATTTAAGGAATCAATTCCTTTGTAATGAGCATCAAGTAGTTTTTAGGACTAAAATGAAAATGAGATGCATGCTGTTATTATTATTTTCAAAAGTTCTTTTTTTTTTTCTTGGATTGACAATAAACAAGTCTTTGTAGTTGGAAGGAGCCCCAGGCAAGGACCAGGTCCCTGCAGCACTGGCTGCTGTACCATCATGGAAGAAAATCTGAGGAGCCCCTGCCCTAGGGAGACCACAACCTCCCTGGCAGCCAGGACCCCACCAGGAGCAGGCTGAGCACAGCCAGGGCACGGAAAAGCTGGGGTTGTTGCAGATTGGTGCCTGGGCAGGCTGTCTCACCCGCGATTTTATTTTACTCGCATTGGGTCATTGGCAGAACCCGGCGAGGATGGGCGTGTGCTGCTCTAGGGAACAGCCTTCATGGAGGCTTTACATGTTCCCTCTTGGATTGCAAAGGCAGCAAGAGGCTGTGTGCTACAAGGAGAGGGAATCCTGCCCAAGCTGCTCTCGGCTCCCTGCTGCCCCAGTTCCACTTCTAGATAAAGCACAACCAGATTCTGATCTTTAGAGCTCACACCTCTGGGTTACACTCGTCCTAACACGGTGATTTGGGTGATTTTTGATGTGTTGGATCTGAAACTCAGAAAATGCGAGAGCAACACAAAACCAAAGCAAAGGTAGAAAATTACTGCAGTTTCTAGAATTCTTCCAGCTTTAGTCATCGAAGGGGATTGTTAGAAACGGACAAAGGGCTGTTTCCCTTAATTTTTTTAAGTGTGAATTTTGTCTTGACAGTTTCCTTTCAGAAACAAAAATTGAAAACAAATTGTCCCATGCACAAAACAAAGGGACAGATCCTCAGCTGGAATGGACTGGTATAACCAAGTGAATAACACCCACTCACAGGAGAGATTCTGGGCCTTTTAACAGCAGCTGCCGATCCTGCTCTGCCCGGACAAGAGCTTCAGCCCCTGGGTTACATGGCAGCAGTGCTGACTCCATGTAGCTTGGAAAAGATGAAGGGCTGCCTTCAGAGCAGCTGAAAACACAGCAGGCCTCCAAGGACTCCGGGACTGTACACTTCCCAAACCTGGAGCTGACTCCAGGTGCATGAGCCAGCGGACACAACAGCACGAAAACAACCACACCAGCATGGCCCTGAAACTAAAGAGCTGCTCTGGAGAAATGCTGGCAAAGCAGCCTTCCAGAAACCATGACTGGTGGGGTTTGCTTTCTGAAACGAGGCATGGCCCAGGTTTTTCTCTCAAAACCAAGGCTGATCACCATCTTGAAAATTACATGGGCAGTCCCCAAGAAAATATTAACTGTGCAGCACAGAACAAATGCACGGTGAACTGGGATCCTTCCCAGCCAGTCCTGCTCCCAGGAGAGACTGTGGCACAGCCCAACTGCACCCTGTGCTTGGGGAATGCTGTCAGCCATGAGCCAGTTACTCGGAGCAGCAGCTCCTGGCTTTGGGTCCTGCCAGCATGAACAGTGACCCTCGCTGGGCTGTCCCTGTGCAGGCCCAAGCGGCTCCAGAGGTGCTGATGAGAGCTGGGTTCATTCATCTCCCTAACCCAGAAGAAAACAAAAATACACACATTAGGAAAATTTGGGAAGTGTCTCCCTTTGCCAAGGAATAGCCAACATCCCCATTGCCGCTGTCTCCAGCAGCGAGAGCTGCCCGGCTGAGATTCCCACCCACATGGATCCAGCACAGTCCCCTGGGAGAGCCAGTGCACAGGGGGTGCCCTGCCTGGGACCCTAAAGTGAAGGAACTTGAGCACTGATGGAAGAGCACCCATTCTCCAGGGCTGTCAAAGGGTGGGTTTGGCCACATGCATTTGACATTTCCTCTTTCTTTGCAATCCTCAGTTTGGAGTGTCGCTTTTTTCTCCCACTCCCAACATCAGCAGAGGAGCTGGAAAGCCAGAGTTATTTTTAGGAGATGGTACATTTAGGCCCTGTTAATCTTGACTGGGTCCCTTTGAAAATGGCAAGGTTGGATAATCAAACACATTACACAGACTTTCCATGGAGCTGCTCTGCAAACCAGCCTCCCACCGTTCAGATACTCAGGAGTCAATAGTTCCAAGAGGAGCTGTTTGATGCTGCCCTGGTTTGGCTCACTGTGGTGACCTCACCAGCATTTATACACAGAGCCTTGGAGAACAAGCAAATTAAAGCAGCTGACTTAAAGTATATAAAATAAAACACTTAGTCATCAACAAGTCTTCTAGAGGCTGCCACATTACACTGGTCTTGAGTGGCAAGAGACCA